ATACATTCTTCACGTACGGAAGAGCTCGCCAAACTTTTGGGCCAGTTGGATGGGGTTTCAAGTTTTCAAGTTTAACGAAGCCGACATCCTCGCAAGAGGTGACAACCGCGTGAGCCGCGAGCTGCTCGAGCCCTGGTTCTCAGGCCCCCAGTCCTTCAACAAGGGAACAATTTGGCGTTTCCCTACTGTGTACTGAGAAATTGCCAGAGCAAGAGAATCAGTCATGTGCGAAGGGCAGGGCCCAGCAACAACTCGGACGACAGCGAGCATAATTGTCGCGCACGCACCAGGCCCGCATCCAACACGGATAAGGAAATCGCGGCAAATAATGAGTCGAACACGAAGTGTCAGGCCAATACCGCACCAATTAGGACTAAGCTTTCACTGTCGTCGAGTCAAAATATTCGGTATGGGTAAACTCGTGCATACCGAAAAGCCTCCCCGCCCTCCAAGGGTCGGGGACCGGAGGATCCCTGACCATGTGTCCGCTGGACAAGAAAATTTATACGAGAAAAGGTTTTAACCATTTAGGTTTCCATACCAAGGCTTAACTGGTGTTAGGAGGTTTGGCAGATTTGCTTAATTTGAGTTGACCCAATTGTGAAAAAAGAGGTTTGGCAGATTTGCTTAATTTGAGTTGACCCAATTGTGAAAAACTCGAGATCATTTATTCATTCGTCTGAGCTTTCGACCTCTTGCAGGAGTCTTCGTCAGAGTTAGAAGCGGCTTTTATCTATGACGACGGACTCAAGTGAATGAATAAACGATTCCAGCGACCGAACAGCCTTTCTCCTCCCTAATTATAGATAAACCCGGAATGCAAACGTTCGCTTCACCTCGGCCACGAAGCTTACTAGAAGCGAGATGCACAAAAGGTCATACGTAAAAGTCCAGAAACAGAGTAGCGCCTGATTACCCGGTTTTGTAGGGGTGGATTCGGCAAATGAGCAGATCTAATGCCCGGCGAGGTGTTGCTTCGAAGGATGGTTGGATTCGCAGCGGCCCTAGAAAAGGTCTGCGGCAGGCGAGAGAACTGCTTTTGCAGACGTGTCAGACTGGGTTCACGACTGGCTGCCGAGCTGCCTCTACCGGCAGTCCGGTGAGGCTCCGCAAACGTGTTGGATCTGGACAGTGATGTGTGTCGATGGGGCCTTAGGGGTACCTGTTCAGGTGGCGTTTTTGAGCGGGACTGTTTCAGTTTGCCCGTGTGACTGTGGGGTCGATTGTTTAGGGATTCAGACGACTAAAATATAACAGAGACCGCAGTATGTAGAGAATGTCTAGGAATTCCTGCAAAGGTCATGGCTAAGTTGATAGTTTAGTACATAGTTGTTCATGTTATTTTGATCCAAAGAGTGGACTTAATCCTGGAAAAGGCTTTCAAAAAGGAAACCCGCCTATTTAGTTCAATATATTGAGGGTAATATGCATTAATTTTGGCGAAATCAGAGGTAGCCTGACATTGAAGACATTTGCTATGCTATTATGTAAGACAGAAACAAACCTTTTTACTTTTATGAGTTGTGCTATAGGATAACACCAATATAAGCTAAGAAGTTTAAAACGTATCCTTTCCAAAACCTGAAAATTTAGTCTGAAGTGGATCTAATGCAAATGAAGCTAAGTTTAAGGGAGGCAATTTATTTTCAGAAACGAGGAACAATTTTACTCTCAAAAATTACTTTTTGCCAATGTGTGAAATAAAGCATGAAAACGCAGAAAATCGTCGAAAGTTTGCCGAAATTTAAAGGACAATCTGTAAGTACTTGTAATTAAATAACGGCAATATGTTTAAAATATTTTGACAAAGGAGGAACTCTTTTTGCATAAAGAAACTGATGGGGTTGTCTATTTAACTTACGGTGAGATTTAAATTTATTGCTCTAATTTATACCTATTTTTAGGTCTGAGGAACTCGACTGTTATGCTTTTTTTGATTTTTCTTAACAAACAATTGGTGCTTTTTATATTTACTTTAAATGACAAACTTGCCTAAGGTTGTGCATTATCATTTCTAAGTTTTTGCGTATATGTTAATGCCGGTTTGCGAGTGATCATCGATCTTTTTCACGACTTCTCCGCGGTACTGTAGGCTTAAAAATGAAGAGTAGACGATGATAGTCAGAAGTGAGAGAAACTCACTCGATCCCGACGAACTACCGGCTGGAAGGCAGCAGACCGCGAGGGCGTTGGATCACCTTCCTTTCGTACCATGTAGGTCTGCGGCAGTTTTGTGCGAGACCCGCTTTCAGGGCGATTTGATAGTGGCCGGTGGGGAGACATCGAACTCTTTCGCATTGATTGTGCCTGGGAACCTCTTCGCGAAAGCCTGTGACAAGATTCGCAGGGCCGAACTGGCCTCTCGGCAGAAGAGCTTCTAGCTAGAGAAGAGAAAAAAGGAATCGAAATCGACATGATTGATTAGATGATCCACGAGGTTCTCCAACAGTTTCTTACAACCAAACTTTTGTTGTCGGGTTGATTCGCGTAACAGGGTAAGTGACAAAATGGGAGGAGGGTGCATTTAAAGTAAGCCAGTGTCAAAAATAAGGCAAAATTAGTGTTAAATGTCCTCAGACTTATGTTAAAATTATAAGCCACTATATGTCCACACTATGAACGGGCAACTATTAGCAATGGGATGCGGCGAAATATGATGACTTCTGATAGCTATTAAGTTATAAGGACAATACAAAGCATGCTAAAGTATATAGTAGTTCGATAAGCACACTAAACCAATGTACCTGCCACAACCTACTGTTATCATCGAAATTTCTGAAAAATGTTCATGTAATTCGAAATCTAAAGGATTAATGAAGTGAAGCGATGGAGTTTGAGGTTGATTTTCTGGATTAGGGTACTGCACTGCAAATATATGCCTGTTCTTAAATGCTCTAGGGAACTGTGGGGAAATGCAAAAACTCGCTCAGTTCCATATCAACCAAATCTTGGGAAAATCGGGGAAGTTAATGGGAAGTTGACAGTCTCAAACAAGCGTCAGAATGCTCATGTAAGAGAACAGATTAGCGAAACAGCCTAGTTGCTCTCTGATAATTTTGGTAAAAACTCGAAAGGCTGTTCTAACTAGACTAGCAACTTTAGAAAAAAACTGCTGCAAGAATAGGTATTCAAACTTGCTACCTGGACGGTTCACAAGCATTTTGGAGGAAATTTTCTGGTAATTAGTTTTCATGTGGACAGAGGAGGCTAAAAGATGTAAGTGGGTTTACATGTATCTGTTGATCGAGAAGCGCTTCGGAGAGTGGAGGAGGCACTGGAACTCTGGGAAGAACAGACCTGAGATGAGGAAAAACAAGTTGTTTAGTGTAGATAAATCTACCCACTTAATACATTTAAGTAGTACGTTTAGAGTCGGTAAACAGAAACGACAGGTAGAGGCAGTACCTCGCTCTCTACACCCTGCTCATCAGAACAAGGCACCGAGTCGCTGTATTGCATGTTGCGAGACTCAAGTTCTTGTCTTCGCTCAGCCTTTTTGGCCATGATCATCTATAAAAAGTTACGAAGATGAGACTGAGTCGCCGACAAAGGATTTGAGTACTGAGCAAAAGACGCGTGCAATCGACAACAGTTAAAAGCATCTAGCAGAGCTTATACTTGAATGGGTAGATTGTTTTGTTGAAATACGGGCAATGACGCGAAGAAACGAGCCATGGTTTTCGAGTGTGAATGCAAGCGCCTTTAAAGCGAGCTTAGTTTCTAGTAAAGTCGAACACGCCCCCATTCAGTGAGAAAAAAGAACTCTAGCGTTTAAACGTATAGGCTTATGGCACCTACATATTTGTATCTTAAACATTGCCTGCATGACTCTTGCAGTTTACATTCAAACAGCGATCTCTGAAATAAAGTTGTCTATGCAACTCGTTCGAAAGAGAGAATGGGCCCTGACTGCCGGAAATTTATGCTTGACAACATAAAAGGAATGTTGAGAAGTAGAAGACTTCCTGGGACTTGCATGTTCGCTTGTATTAGCAATAAAAGGAATGTGTAGCAAATGCTCATAAAGCTTATCTCCCCATGAACTTTTTATCAACGCGAAAAAAAGGGCAAATATAAAAAAACGACTGGTGAGGATAAGAACTGAAAAAAAGATGGACTTCGGCAAAAAGTAAAGAATACATTCGTATAAACTGGAACACACGCATCCCAAGATATTTTAATTTGAGGAAGATGTTCTTTGGGATAAAAAGTAACTTTAATGATTGAATTTTCGAGTTTGGCGTCCCAACCCGTCTTCGGACTAACAGGAAAAGTGCGATGAACAACTTAAATTTCAAAACTGCTGAAAAATCAATAGGCATATAGAGCGAGACGTGATTGGTGGGTGTGGTCTCAGTTAGTGTCTGTCGTGCGGCCTCTGTGTTTTCAATCGTTGTTTGACGTGCTTATAAATACCATCCAAGTCGACGTGCCGATTGACGTAAACACAAACCTGCGTTCGACTACGGCGAAAATAACCCATACGCCATTGGGACATAAGCTCTTCATCGAACCGAAGTTCATCAGTGCCTTACCACCTGCCATACTCTGTCGCTGCGGATCGGTTATTTATTTAAACAGAGTTTGTTTCAAGAAGAAGAAGAAGATTCGATCACTAGAACGGCAATTATATTATTCTGAGCTTTCGGCTTCACACCCAGAGGCCGTCGTCAGAGAAAATGAGAAAGCAGCAAGCGTGGACATGCTTTTATAGTCTAGCTACGATTGAACGGCGGTTGGGGGAGGGGGTGGCATTTGTGATTGGTCCATACTCACGCCATCTGCGTGCGTCCTTGGCGTAACAGCGTGCCTGCCTGGACAGGAACTGGGCTGTGTTTCTTGGTCGCGAGCACGGAGGGCAAAATAACAGGGTGGTATATCCACATGCCTGTTGATGAAGTTGGAGTCTGACACCCAAGCCTCCAGTAGTTCTCGCCCAGTCCTATATGCGGTGCGTGCCCGTGAAGTTAAATTCATGGCCTTCTTCCAGAGTGTGGGTAGCGATCTGGGGCAGCGGGTCGCCTTTCCGCGCTGCTAGTTTGTGTTCCGTTATTCGCGAGCTAAGTCGTCGCCTTGTATAATGATAAGAACAGTCGCGACATGGCACTTGATAAACGACGGCAGACTTCTCACCTAACTCCAGTGAGTCTTGGCTGTGAAATATACACATGCTGCCATCAGACAGTCGTTAATAGTATAAATTAATTTGTAACTTACCATACTAACAGCCTAGGTACTTGCTAAAATGCCCAGACACGATGTAACTTACCATACTAACAGCCTAGGTACTAGCTAAAAGGCCCAGACACGTATTTCGCCGGTATTCTGTCACCGCTTGGCACAGCTGCGAGGGATCCGGCTCGTCAGTAGGCCCCTAGCTTTCCCTAGCTGCTTTCTGGTTGATATACCCGTTTTGAAAGTTCAACTTTTGAATTTCCCGAGAGTCAGCTTTTTAAATTTTCTGAGAGTCTTTTATTTGCATGGCCTCTGAACGCATAGTAGCTGTCGGACGATGAGAAATACCCACGCCGAGCTCTGCAGCGATACGTTCAGTTGCTTCTGACACATTTTTTATGTACGATAGAGAGTGCCAGAATAATAAAATTGTCGTTCCAGTGATCGTGTCTTCTTCTTCTTTCTAAAAAGAACCTGATGCACGCATATTTGCTTCTATTCGTGAGAGCGTGTTTATTTTGGTCAGCCAATGGTTCACTGTGCGTCCATTTTCGTTTGAATAAATACACGATCTGTAGCGAAAAAGGATGACAGATGGCGAAGCACTGATGAACTTCGGTTCCATGAAGTGCTTATGAGCCGTCTGCTAGACCTAGTCTATGGAATACCTGCGCTGTACTCGAGGGCATCCTTGTGTTTCAAGTCCCAGCTGATAGTCAGGGTTATGATTGGCTGAATGAACACGAAACAGACTGTATCAACCTACCGGTATCTCCTACCGTCCCTCCTCTATACTTAAATAATTACTAAAATGCGTTACTTAGAGGACTATGCCAAACGTTCAAAATATCACCAAATTCGAAGAATTTTCCGACAGGAAAAAACCTGACTAGCTACACTGATAGAGAGGGCCTAGGTGAAGTAATTCTCTTCAGTGGGTGACCTAGTTTTAGGTACTGCCATTAAAGGTCTATCTAGAGATTTAAACAGTGGGCAGGAAACGAAGCCTTGTAATGCCAAATAAAACAAAACTAAAACTAAAAGTCCAAAGGTACCGAAGACAATTAAACAAAACAAAAATAATTAATCACACAGGAGAGTACTGAAGAGAAAATATAGCTAACAGTGGGGTTAAGCTGTTTTTTCCATTCCTAGGCCCGTTACTTGAGCTAATTTTTTAACAGAAACGGCAATCGCGCTCAGGGAAAATAGATGGATGGAACGGAGTACACGACAACAGACATAAATGTCCTTTGCCATTTATATTTATCTATAGGTTGTTTTAAAAAGTCACTGCTTAACGGCAAGTTTTGTGAACAGTAGTTCATAATTCAAATCGAGTTTTAATGACTAAACTGTTATTCGCGTGTTCGATTCGTCCTCTTACAGCCATAGTTTATAAGCTTGTTAAGAGAATATAATACTCCACACGGTACGTTTTCATCTCAGTGTCTGCTATGAAAAAGACTAACAACAAGAAATCGCTGAAAATAACCATATTATGGAAAGAAAGTAAGACTGCCCAAAAATGACTGCCTTTACGGACGCAGTAAAAAATGAAAATTACTGAAAATTACCTTATAGAGCCTTGATCGATAGTCTGCCACACTAAGTTGTCGGCCATCGTCCAAGGGAGGAAGAATGGCTCGATTTAAACGGATTTCAGTGGATTTATCCCGGAACCTAAGGGAAAGGCAGTTGAAAACTTTTAGAGAAGGGGACAGGGTATCATTGCTACAGCTCTCTACAGGCAGATGTGCCTTTGGCAAACCTCTCAGAGGCCAATATCATTTATACCCTTTTGGTGGGTGAGACGATGAGTTTAGATGGTTTAATATGTAGGCAACTTTCCTATTGATTTATGTCCACTTCACTGCGACAATGCTACTCAGCCATTTGAACATTGGAAATATCCCCCATAATGCCTACTCAACTTTTTCCGTAGCCACCTTTTAGAACGTTCTCTTGAAAACAAAATACCTATTTATTTATGCAGCACGTTAGGAACGGATCTATCTTCTAATTGCTCTTGCGTGTGTGACTATGCTGGGGATGAAGCGGAGGGCAATTTCATTAATTAATGCATACGTTACTGCAGCATAACCTCATGCGACTTAGAGTGTGGTTGTACATTAAAAAGCTAGCGTACTCAGTAAGCGGTATGAAGCAGTCCAAGATTAACTCCCCAGGTTTGGATTACCAAAAGTCTTTGACTTCTGAATTTATTAAAAAGTAAGAAACTGAATTTGGTAAACCACATTTGCAAAAACAAATGGGTCAATGTCCTTAGTGGAACTGAAAGGTTTTTCGCTGACGTTTTCCTTTGGTGTTGTGCATAGCAGGAAAAAGAAAATCATGCCTCTTTAATTGTTTCTATTTTCAAAGTTGAATTACCTGAGACGGTTTGAACAACGGCCGCGTGAAGACCAGGACAGAGTTGTTTCCGAGTAAATGGTAGACCAAAACTAGGTAATATCAGATATATACGCCCATTGAAATATCCTTTTCTAGTTATTGACACATTTTGTTTTACTATATTCGTTGTCTAGGTCATGTGTCTGTATGCACTAATTATCCCCACTTGCTGCATTAATCCAATTAGCTGCTCTTGATCTATTGAATTGAAGCCATAGCAACGCGCAGTTAAAACTGCCATCTAAGTTGGACTGCTACAAATATTCTTTAGAAGCACACCCGGTTTTTTGAAAAATCCTCAATCAGGCTGTTCTCGAGAGTTTATTTCTAATTTGTGGCGTTGTGCAAGCGGGCCTATTTGCCGTTAAGAGAGAAGGTGACAGGTAAACAGAAGTGCTTAAATAGATCACAAAAGGAGGAAGAGAATGCGACTTGCAATGTCGCTTGGATTGCTCTTGTTCCCTAGCTTACGACTTGTTCTTTTGGAAGAACTTGAATTTTTAAACGGAAATAAGGAAACCTGGTTGGATCGGAGAACTCTCACTGTTCAAGCAGTCACACCGTCGACAGCGTAGGTGAAGCTACAGGAACACTTGGCATTTGGGAGATGATACCGTTTCGTCGCACAGTCTGCGTGAATTATCACGCGATTCATACTTATGCTATAGATATAAACTGCCAATAAAAGCGAACATGCGAGTCCCAGGGAGTAATTGTGAAGAAGACGACTCGATCGCTGGGACAATACTTTTATTTGCCTGGCGTTTCTAGATCCATCGCGGATTCGTCATCAGGGACATAGTCAGAGAGCAGTAGCAGATACGGGTAGCGTATACACAAGAGATTGCAGTATTTATAGGATATAGTCAGACGTGGTGGCCTGTCCATTCCCCAAGTGGCGACTGGCTTTGGCTAAATTG